CTTGCCACAGGTTTCCTATGTGCTTTGATACATGGAATCCAGCCATGTATTCAGTGCTGCAATAACTACAGGTTCCCAGGTTTTTGAGACACCTAGCCTTCATTTCAGAGTTTTACATTTGTCTGTCCCCCTTGTCCACCTCTCTTGGCAGGAAAAAACCCTGCTGGATTGGCTTGTTTTATCAATGTTTTGGTCCTGAGATCGGATCTTTACATTGGAAATGCATTTGTTCCCAGACAGCCACCACTGCCCAGTGCTGTTTAGTAAATCAGCAGATTGAACTCATGTACTCAACCCACTTTCTGCAGAGACACATAGCACTGAGCCCCAGTGAGCAGAGTATAATTTGCCTTTTCGGATAGTACCAGCACTCTTCTGCATAGGACATCAAAGGCAGTGGCTGAAATATAGAAACAGCTTGTAAACAATCATCCTGTGCTCATTAATGATGATTGATTGCATTGTTTTCTTTCTCCTTAATTCATTTGGGAGTTCGTCTATATTGAGCTATTCTACAGAAGTGTGTATTCACCACTGTGGCATAGAGAAGCAAGATTTGGGGCCTCAGATGGTAATGTAATACTGGGCTGGTACCCAGGACAGATGGGAAAGCAACATCAACAGTCCTCCAGTGTAAGCAATAAAACATGAAATACGATGGAGCATAGCAGGGGGGTTGGAACTACATGGTCTTTAAGGCCCTTTACAACCCAGACCATTTTATGATACTATGGTATCAGTGATTTCCAAGTTAGTGGGCAGCTCCCCGACTCTCAGAGATGCAGCCACCAGACCAGGATCTCCTGATTCTTCTGACAGCAGGAATTTGGTACCTTCATGTCTCCCCCCATCCTGGCTTCATCCACTTTCTGCAACACATCACCCACTTACAGAGCAGACCAAGGAAGTCTTTACATGGTAGGAGCAGGAGGAGAAGAGTCACACAGCTACAGACAGCTTGGAGGGAAGCTAAACACCATCTCATCCTAACAGGAGAGCTAGAGACCTGTATGGACAGTATGCAAGGCATGCTTGGGACACTGGTGAGTTGACATTGGATATTAGGGGGAAAAAAATCACTGTAAGGGTTGTCAAGCATTGGAACAGGCTTCACAGAGATGTGGTTGACTCATCGTCCTTGGAGGTATTTAAAAGATGTGTAGATATGGTGCTTAGGGACATGATTTAATGGTGGACTTCGCACTGTTGGCTTTACGGTTGGACTTGATGATCTTAAGAGTCTTTTCCCTCCTAAACAATTCTATGATTCTGTAATTCTGTGACAGTGGACATTCAGGAAGGTTCTCAGTCTGTTCTGCCCTCTGGTGTTGATTCTGGGAGGTTATTGCAGCAATGCTGTTGTTTATTTTCTTTGAATAGGGATTGAAGAAAAGGAGGACACGAGGGTGAGGGAACTTCAGGATGTGGAATTTTCAAAGCCTGTCCCTGGTTCGGGAGGTATTCTCTGGCCAAGACAGCACTCTTCGCTTCTGTGGAATAGCAATAATATTTGTGGCTGGTAGTGGAACCCTTAATTGATTAATATATGGAAGATGCTATATTAATACAATGTTATTTTCCCTGGAAAAAAAAGGCAGGCTAAAAATAGTGTAGTACATTTTGACAGAGCGTTTCTTATTTTCTTTTTATGTTCAGTTCCTTTGAGTCTGTCTTTTTCTTGTTAGGAAGGCTTAATTAACATTTTAATTTTCATTTCATTACCGGACCCAGGTTTTGGTACTCTCTAGGCAGCCACTAATCATTTAGTCCCCAAAATGAGATGAAGGCTTCTTGGTGCAAGGAACATTACAGATATAGAGGGAGCAGACCTTGCTCTAGCTGGAGGCAGTGGAGGGAAACTGACCTACCTTTAGTCAGACTGGATATAGGTCTACAGGTGTCCAGTTTCTTATCTCTATCACAGTATGTATGCCTCTCTGGTGAATAGGAGGCACAAATGTAGATGCAGACACACTCTCACTTGGGACTGGCATGGGAACAGCTAAAAGATCCCAGCCAAAAGCTCTCTGTACTATAATTAGAACAAGGCTGTCTTGAAAACTTTTCTTGTCTGTGGCAAGGCAGAGCTCTAAGATCCAACTATAAAGAAAAGCAAAGGCTTTCTGAGATAGCTTTCCCAGCTCTTTAATGCTGTCAGTTTGGACCAAAGCTCTTAAACTCTTTTGGCTTTGAAACAACCCTGGGTCTGAAAAAGTGTGCTTAGCTCTGTGCCCCCAAGCCACTTGATGCCCAGCTCAACAGGCTCCCATATTAGCGTGCCTCATGGAGAGTCTATATGGAGGCAGGGAAGGAGCTGATTAAGGAAAACCAACCTCCAGGTGCTCCTCCATGAAACAAGAGAACAACTAGCTGTAGTGAGTCAATGGAAAACAACAAGATCTGTACTCTGCCTCCCACAGTTGTTTTTTTCCCAAATTATATAATTTTATATCAAACCATATAAAATAATTTTTATATAATTTATATAAATTTTGTGTAAATTCACTTAATACTATTTTATAATGTTATATTAATTTTATATAAAGCATTTCTGAAGGTCTATGAAGGTTGCAGTGGGAGAGGAGGTATTTAGGGAAGAGGGCTGAAGAAGGAGACAAAAAAAAAATTAACATGAGGAAGAGGAGGAACAGAAAGAGGAACAGAAAGAGCAGGAGGAATACCTCCTTCTCTTGCCAGCCTGGTTTTCATGTTCCTTCTCACAAGATAGGCTGCAGGTATGGGGTACACCTAGTACCTCATTAACACTGCCTCTGTCACTAGCAGGCTCAAACATGAGGTAATAAGCTTGAAATTTAGGATGCTGAACATTGTGGCCTGGGTCCCCTCCTCTGGCTGAGGAGGCAGGTCCAGCATGATGAGGTGGAGTTATCTGTTAAATCTAAATAAATAAGGCTAGGAGGGCAGTTCAAGCACTATACACTAGTCATCAGCATTAGCACTTCCCCTTGTCATGGCTTTAACATAGTCCCAAGTGGCAACATGAGGGAGGCAAAGATAATTTAGCAGGGACAAGGCAGTGCCATTTACCCTTTGGGCATGGCCCCTGCTTATTTGCAGAGAGAACATAGCCCTAGGGGCTGCCAGGAGCATAAAGATGGTAAGACTCAGTCTTCATTTCAGCATTTGAGACAATCTCTCCCAAATTTATTACAGCAAGTGCCTCCTGACTTGGAAGTACCAAACAGCTTTGGGCAAGACCTGAGATAAAGGAGGTTTGGGGGTGTGAGAATTCTTCCCTTCATTTTCTTTTCAACAGTGTCAGCAACGAAAGATGCTAGCACTTGGATGAATGACCTGTCTTCATCTGACAGGCAACTGCATGAAAGTTTTAACAATACCATTAACAGTTATGCATGGGCTAACTTACATGGGAGCCTCCTGTAGGAGGCATGTCCAAGGCACAAGGGACGTGCTGGGCCAGAGAAGCCCAAAGGAGCGCGCATCTAAATGGATAACCCTACTGGTTAAGAAAGTCACATGATATCAGGGTATAAAGGGAAGCGCCAAATTTGAAATAAACCTCTTTGTTTCACCACCTCACGAGGAGCGTGTATTTTCCTTATTATATAAGGACACGTGCCCCTACATATGACGCACCCGAACTTGGGACTTTGAATCTATATTAGGTCAGTTTAGCATATCCTGAATCAGGCAAAAAAACTCGGTAATTCTGTTATCGTCTCAATTGTTTCGAGACGGGAATTTTCGCCAAAAAAAACATCGATGTCAGTAAATCATTGTCTCAGTGACACCTGAGAAACAGAAAGTTAAGATATTGAGCTCAAAAATATTAGGGAAAGTGCACAGGAAAAAAGAAGAAAGAAGAAAGAAGAAAAGAAAAAGCCGACAGATCGAGGCAGCCGGACAGAGCAGAGCGGGGTCCAACATACACTGGAGTGGTGAGTCACACTGAGAGGCAGCACCAACATTCCACGCGGCAAGGACTTTTCCCTAAGCAGTGCCGTGTCCGCAGCTCGGAGACCCAGGCAGCGGAGCACCTTTAAACCGCCGGGGAAGCCCCACTACCGGCTGCTTGCCACGGCTCGTCCATGTGTGTGAAAGCGGCTCTGCCGCTGCCGCCTTCTAACATTGTCAGCGCCACCGCCAGATCCCGCGAAGCCCGCATTGGTTTTCTGCCTAGCAGAAACTACTGTAGCTCACCGCCACGCCTGCCGCCCCTGCCGGCCCCACGCCACGCTTAAAAGCCACATGGGACCCACCGAAGCCACACCGCGACCCCGCCAAGCCCCCCCCCATGCCACGTTCAAAACTGCACGGGACCTACTGAAGCCAAGCCAAACGCGCACCACGCCGCAGCTCCCCACCACAGCGCCGGAACCCCCGCACCACCCAGCAAACTGCGGGAACCCTGGAGCCACTTCCCGCCGCCACCAGAGAGCTCCCGAGCCCCACGCTGTGCAGAGGGAGCCCCTACCGTGCCACCACCGCCTATCCTGCCCCGCGCCGAGCTGCTCGCAGCCCACAGCCTCCGCAATGCCTGCAGATTCCGCTTGCAGACGCCACTTGCAGACGCCGCTTGCAGTCATCGCCCGCACCCGCTGCTCGCCTGCCACCGCTCGCCACAGATGCCACACACCCACAACTGCCGCAGCCCGTGCCCACCGCAGCCTGCGCCCGCGCTGACGAGCCCTGCTGCTGCCACCAAGAAACAGCGCCTCCGCCACCCACGAGGACCCAGTTGACCGAGAACCGGGAGAAGCCAGCAAATGAAATAGAAAATAAAATAAAATTTAGCTATTTAGCGATGTAAGTGTGACTTTGCAAAATGTAAAACTGCTTAAAAGTTTCTGCCCAAACTGTGGGCAATTGAGATAAAATAGCTTAGAGAACAGGGAAGGCTTTTTAGCACATAGAGAGGGGTGGGGAACCTAAAACTGCTTGAAATGATAAAACTTTATGAAACTACTCTATAATGGTAAGAATAAGAGGTAAAACTAAATGTCTATTTAGATAAGGCAGACTGCAAAAGAGTGTGTGTAAAGATAATTTTAAACTTGTTACTTTCAAACTGTATAAAAAGCTACGGTATTTCTTGGCTCAGCGGAGTGCACTGGGGAGAACACCTGCCCCTTTGCATTCCCCGGCCGTAATAAAAGTGCTTTTCAGATTGGCAGAGGTTTCTTTGAATCAATTTGGCGACCCAGATGGGACTGATTTCTGCTCGCCGGTGAGGACCCTCCGGAACCGGGGACCCTCTGCGCGCCCCGGGACGTTACTCCGGTGAGGCTCCCCGGGCTCCGCTGGATCACCACGGGAGTAGATGAAGACCCTGTGCACAGGTATACAAATTTTAAAGCACAAATATATACAAATATTAAAGCACAAGTATACAAACTTTAAAGCACTCTTTTATTTTTCCCTAGGGTTTTGGGAAGGAAACCGTAAGTCGTACGCTGGTTTTTAGGGCTCTGGGCTTGCTAGCAGCTAACAAGAGCAACACCCTTTTAATAGTAGGTTCGAGTCCTACCGGGAGGATGCATAAGGCTTTGATTGTGAGTTAAAGTCTCACCAAAGCCTTACCAAATTCCTCGGGCTAAGAGGAATTTTGGGCAGAGGGCTGCATCCTTCTGACTATGGGTTAACAGTCCCATTAGAGGGTGGCATAGGTTTTTGATTGTGAATCTCACCGAAGGTATACCAAATTCCTCAGTCTAAGAGAATTTGGAAAGAGGTACTGATGTTTTTGGGTTTACCATTGTAGCTAGATTTGGGACTTGGTTTTGGAATTGCGATTATTATAAGTTTGGTAATATATTATATCTGGGTTTGTTTTAAACCATCTGTCTGTGTTCCATGTGTTTGCTGAATTGTATTGTTTGCTTTTGTCTGTGAGTATTGTCTCTTATGTCATGAAATTACTGTTGTATGTTAAGTAAGCAAATGTTGGGAAATTATATTTGCTTTCATATATGTTACTGGTTTTCTCCTAATCACGGCAAAAGGACTACCTTCGTGTGTTTACGGGAGATAGTGGTTTTGTGGTTTTATGGTTTTAGGCAGAACCTTAACACTCATTGTTTGCAGGAATTAAGCCAGGAAGTTTTGCTGGCCGCTTGCAGATGCCACAAACTCCAGGGCTGACAACCTCTGAAAGTGCACACCCATATCTTTGCTCAATTTGTAAAATTGCTCACCTCATACTTGTAATCTGTGTTAAATGTTGGCAATTTTGGCGTGTTAGGGGCAAGAGTGGCATTAGGAGATCTTAACATTGGAATGGTTAAGTTTAGATATGGTTTTATACAGTATCTAAGAGAGAGTAACAAAATCTGCAGGTAAAATAAGGCGAAAAGGAATAAAAAGTGGTTCTTTTCTCATTAATACTTAGATTGTGAGATTGTTACCTTGTATCAGTAAGTGTGGAGCGTGGCTATTTTGCAAACACCTAAGAAAGGGGTTTCTTGTTGCCAGACTGAGGATTGCTACCAGACAGGAGATACTTGAACAAGCTAACAGGGCTGACTCAGAAATTTCCTGCCTCAAAGCTGGTGCGGTGTGTGTTGAAAGTATATAACTGAAATTTGCAGATAACCACGAGTTTACATCTGTGCAAAGGGCATGACTAGAAACAGGCCAAAGCAAAAGTTAAAAATGGGAAACCGGCAAGGAAAACAAGAGGTTGATAAAAGTCCATTAGGATGTATCTTAACACACTGGAAAGAAATTGGGGAATCTCAGGGTGAGATTACTAACAAGAGAACTCTAATCAAATATTGTTCAGAATGGTGGCCCCTCTATAAACTAGAGGAAGGAGCAAAGTGGCCAAAGCATGGATCATTAGACTATAATATTTTACTACAGTAATGTTGTTTTTTGCGAAGGCATGGAAGATGGAACTAAGTGGTTTATGCTAAGATGTTCTTTTGCTTGAGGGAACACCCAGAATGGCAGAGGGAGCGTGGCATTAATTTAGCCCCACGAGACCCGTTTGTTCTAACATTAGAGAAAGAGAATGTAAAACAAGGTATAAGAGAACTCAAAAGATGTTGTTCAGCCTGATGGACAGAGATGTTTGAAATATACCAACAGGGAGTTAGAAAATAGAATTAAGGATTATGTAAGTCCCTTTGGAGAAAGGGCAAATGAAATAGCCGAAGGAGGGGCTCCTGCTCCCCCTCAGGACCAAACAGTGAATTGTCCGCATCTTCAAGACAGCAGGGGAGGGAAAGAGACGGAGAAAGGGGAAGAAGGGAAATTTCTTACTCCCCATCCTTATCTCTCCTGAGCAGGCGGACACGCAGTAAAACGAGAGCAAAATCTGTCTCCCCACACACAGAGGCCAGGCAGACTATACAAGCCCCTTTAAGAGAGGCTGCAAGACCGCAGGGGCCTATAAAACTTAAAGTCAATTTCTATATGGGAGATTTAGAAAGTTGGGAAAATATTGCTCGTAAATATAGAGATGACCCAGTTGGGGTAGAAAGACAGAAATTAGGTAAAAATATCACAAAGGCAACCATTGCCGCCCTGGATAAAAGAGACCATCGCTCTAGGAGACCTGGAAGGCACCCTGGAAGTAGTGACCATCAGAAGTTGAGACCAAACCAATGTGCAATTTGTAAAGAAAATGGACATGGGAAAAGAGAACGCCCTCAAAGGAAGCAAAAACCTATTTTAATGGCAGAATTGGACCAGGATTAACAGGGACCGAGGGGTTTGCCTCCAGGAATCCCTTGGTTATAATGGAACTGGGGAAAATTAAACATAAAATAGAATTTTTAGTAGATACTGGTGCAATATTCTCTGTTAAGCATTATGGACAATGTATCTTTAAATGTGATAGGAGCCACTGGTCAAGTTGAGAAAGTATCTTTTAAGAAACCACTAAGTTTTAAATTAAGTAAGACTTTAAGTATACATAAATTCCTTTATATGCCTCATGCACCTAAATCACTTTTGGGAAGGGATCTATTAGAAAAATTGAATGCAGAAATTAGGTTCAACAATAGAGATATGCAAATTAAAGTAAAAGAAAATGAATTAATCGAAATTTTAAGTCTTGCTCTAATCCAGCCACAGATATCGGGAGAAGTACCACCAGCAATCTATGACCAAATCTACCCAGGGGTTTTGGCTGACACACTCAACCTGTAACAGTAAGATTAAAACCTGGGACACGGCCGGTAAGAATTAAACAATATCCTCTCAAACTAGAAGATAGAAAAGGAATTAAAGAAATAATTGACAATTTTATCAAATATAAATCAGAATTTCTATCGGCTAGTTCAAGACCTAAAGGCTATTAATAAAATTGTTGAAGAGCTCCACCCAGTGGTAGCTAGCCCATATACACTTCTAACTAAACTAAAAATGAGTATGTCTGGTTTTCTATTTTAGATTTAAAAGATGCCTTTTTCTGCTTGCCTTTGGACCCTAAAAGTCAAAAATTTTTTTTGCCTTTGAATGAGAAAACCCGGATACAGGACAAATATGGACTAATAGTCAAACCTCTATACCAGATTCTACAAGATGGAGATCAACAATTAACATGGACTGGAGAAGCTAAGCAAGTTCCATCGGCTTAAGAAGGAACTGATGCAGACACCTGCACTGGGCCTCCCAGATGTAACGAAACCTTTTTTTTCTCTTTTTGCATGAAAGGCAGGGAATTGCACTGGGAGTCCTGGCCCAGCAGGTTGGACAATATCGCCGAACAGTGGCATACTTCTCTAAACAGTTAGATGAAGTGAGCAAAGGATGGCCAGGAGGTCTGAGGGCCATAGCTGCAGTAGTACTGAACATACAAGAAGCCTGAAAGCTCACAATGGGACAGAAAATGACTGTTCTAGTGTCACACATGGTTTCAGCAGTGCTTGAACAGAAAGGCAGTCACTGGCTCTCGCCCTCCAGGTTTCTCAAATACCAGGCCACTCTAGTAGAACAAGATGATGTTGAAATCATCACCACTAACATCATAAATCCAGCAACATTCTTATCAAGTTCAACAACAACAGAGGGACTGGTGTATCATGATTGCATTGAAACAATTGAAGCAACATATTCCAGCCGACTGGACTTGAAAGATACACCACTGCCCGAGGCAGAAATGTGGTTCACCGACGGAAGCAGCTATATGAAAGATGGAATCTGCAAAGCTGGTTATGTGATAACAACCACAGATCACGTCACTGAAGAAGAAAAAGAAAGGACATTAATATTTGGACGGACTCGAAGTATGCCTTCGGAGTAGTTCATGCTCACAGAGCAGTGTGGAAAGAAAGAGGGTTACTCACATCACAAAGAAAACAGATAAAGCACGCAGAAGAAATCTTAAAATTACTTGAAGCTGTCCAGTCACCAAAGAAGCTTGCTATTATGCACTGTAGAAGACATCAAAAGGGAATACAGACCAAGAACAAGGCAATCAATTGGCAGATCGAGAGGCGAAAAAGGCAGCAGAAAACGGCCAGGTAGAACTTGCCTCCCTAATTCCTGATGGCAAAATCACAGAGGTAAGCCCTAATGTATCATATTCAAAGGAGGACTTAAAATTAATAAAAGATCAGCGAGCTCAATGCAAAGGTAACATGTACTACTTAGAAACAGGACAAATAGTGGTACCTGAAAGGGTACTATGGAAAGTTGTACAGGCAAAACATAACAAAACTCATTGGGGGCAGATGCACAACACAAATACCTAAGGAGACAAATTATAGGACGAAATCTATACACTACAATAATCCAGGTTACTAAACAATGCAAGACTTGCCTTCAAAATAATCCTCACACAACCAATAAAATTGAGATAGGGACAATTGGCTGAATTGCCTAAGAAAGGTTACAGGTACCTGTTGGTTTTGACAGATACTTTCTCAAATTGGCCAGAGGCTTTCCCGACTCGAAGCAATAAGGCTCGAGGAGTTGTCAAAGTACTACTTAACGACATTATCCCCAGGTTTAGAGTACCTGATATCATCTCCTCGGACAGAGGACCACATTTTGTAGCTAGCATAATACAAAGAATTAGCAGCATCCTGCAAATTAATTGGCATTTACACACTCCATATTGACCACAGGCAAGTGGTCAGGTGGAGAAAATGAATCATTTAATAAAACAATTGGCAAAAAATCTGTCAAGAAGTAAACCTACATTGGTACCAAGCTTTACCTCTGGCCTTATTACAAATAAGGGTCAAACCTAAGACTAAAGAAGGGCTGAGCCCTTTTGAAATGTTATATAGAAGACCCTATGGGAATTATTATCAAGGAGAAAATCTCATACAGGTTGGAGAAGGATATGTACGGGAATACCTGATCTCATTAAGTAAACAATTGTCAAAAATTAACAACCAAGTAATGAGTACTCACTCAAGAGGAATAGACCAGCCCTTACATAACATTTCCTCTGAGGAATGGGTGTATGTTAAAACTTTTTCAGGCCAACCATTAGAGAACAAACAAATATATCCTCTATAAAAGAGGACTGCCAACTCTTCATTCTCCAAAGTCTTAAAGGATGGAATGTTTGGAGCCCAGAGAGATCTAATGGGATGATTTGGATCAGGACTAGGAATAGTAAATTCAATAGATCAAGAAATGTTAATTAATAAACTAAGCACTGTAACCTCTGATTTGGGAAGGCTGAAGGTACTACTCAGATCATCATTAATGACTATAGCTGAAACAGAATCTCTCACTATCTTGTTGACTGAACACACATCTAAAGACTTTCAAGTCGTGACTAATGTCTTTGAAAAATTAAAACAGATGTTTCAGTAGCAATACAGTGTATCCAAACTCAGCAATGGATACAATCTGTATCGGCAGGAATTATAAGAGAAGAAACCTCAAGAATTTTACCTCAAGAGATAAGAGAGATCATATCCAGACAAGACACCACAAGTAAATTTGAAAAAGAACATCAGGCATGGTGGCAGTTAGTGAACTTCACATATAACACAGAGCAGAAACAGATAGAGACATATATTCTTACCATCTGTGAGACAAAAGAGCAGACCATATTTCCTGTCTTAGCATTAGGAGCAATACACCGGGACATTGTAGTTAGACCTATAGGGCATAATGTCTGGACAAGTTATGACAAGGACATGGGGAAGTGGCAAACTGTCAACACAAAGGCCTGTATACCTAGAGAACAACTAAGATATGTGTGTGAAAATGCTGTAATAGAAAAGGAAGATTTATGTTTAGATACAGAAGACAGTGTGTGTACGTTTGAAATGTTCCCAAATACACAGGCACAGTCCCAAGTGTATTATGTGGGTAAGGGATGTGCCTGCATCAGGACACCTTGCACAAGTATAACGATTGATAATTGTAAAGAGTTAATTAATGGTACTAACTTCTGTGTTTGCAATTTTACTAAAATAATAGGATGTGACTTTAGATACACTGCTCCTGTGACCACCATGCAACTGATCTCGGATAGATATATGTTATATCATGAGCTGCCTAAACTCCAAATAGGCATAGATATTAATATCCTTCAGAAAATGCTCTATCATCCAGATATTGAACAAATGATGGAAAAAGTAAATGCTACTTCACGTCGCATGCTGTGGCAAGTGAAACACGACAAAACAGAGATAAGAAACATCATCACAGAAGTGACAAAGACTGGAGAACATCATTGGTGGAGCATGTTTTTGGGATTAACCAATAGACATTCACCCACGGCAGCTCAGCTATTTAACTTCCTGATTCACCCGATCTTGGTTTTGATGCTGGCAGCTCTCCTCCTTACAATCGTCAATTTATGGATGTGGTGGAAAATAAGAACTATAACACAACAAGTACACGTGCTCTGGACTGTACAAAAGTGATGCAAAAGAATTTGCATTAGTTAAAAGAAAAGGGGGGAATTGAAATAGAAAATAAAATAAAATTTAGCTATTTAGCGATGTAAGTGTGACTTTGCAAAATGTAAAACTGCTTACAAGTCTCTGACCGAACTGTGGGCAATTGAGATAAAATAGCTTAGAGAACAGGGAAGGCTTTTTAGCACATAGAGAGGGGTGGGGAACCTAAAACTGCTTGAAATGATAAAACTTTATGAAACTACTCTATAATGGTAAGAATAAGAGGTAAAACTAAATGTCTATTTAGATAAGGCAGACTGCAAAAGAGTGTGTGTAAAGATAATTTTAAACTTGTTACTTTCAAACTGTATAAAAAGCTACGGTATTTCTTGGCTCAGCGGAGTGCACTGGGGAGAACATCTGCCCCTTTGCATTCCCTGGCCGTAATAAAAGTGCTTTTCAGATTGGCAGAGGTTTCTTTGAATCACAAATAGACAAAGACTTTCCAGCAGCGCACGTCTACAGCGCCGAGACTTAAAGGTAAAACGGGAAATTTTTTCTCCGCTGAGATATCACAGGACACAGATGCACTGGCTATCCTGCTAAAACCATATCACACACAAGCAACAAGGGCTGAACTAACAGAACTTGTACACTTTATTAAGGTAGCTGTCCCTGAACTGCCATTAGTTGAAGCCCTTCACATAGAAATATGGGACAAAATAGGAAACCTTATAAAACTGAAAGCACAGGGGGGAGACCCTCAAGCTAACAATGCTTTTCCAGCCTGGCAAGTCATACTGTCTACACTAAGCAGAGCACATGAACGGACAACACATACATCCAATGCCAACACACACACACCCGCCCACGCTGCTGGCAACAGCCTGACTTTTAGGCGTAGGAGCTCAAACGCACAAAGTCCAGTGGGGGGAGGGAGAAGAACTGTGTGTGACTTAAGTTTTGGGTCAGGAACCGGGAGCCAAGGGGACGCAGGTCGGCGGGAGGGGATGGGGCCTGTGATGCAAGATCCCAACCCATGGGACCAGCGCAGAGGGCCCTCTAATAGCGAGGGGGGGGGTAACCCAGCATATTTGCCACCCCGCACCGCAGATGATCGCCGACCACGTGCCCCGGCATGGGTGCCACCATCTTGCCTGCCACATGGACCAGAAACTGACCCGTCTCTTCCAGCCCCAGCGCTGCCCCGCCCCACCCATAGGCACAATGGGGGAGGTAACCTCACCCCTGTGCCGCCTCCACCACCCACCACCACACCCCCACAGGGAACCGGGTTCACTGGGGCCACAGGGGGTAAGGAATGGGGGGAGGAGGAGGAGGAATCCGGGATGGTTCTGCTAGGAGGGACCGAGGTAGCAAATGGGAAAGGATCGGTTCATAGGTATGCCACACAATTGGAGGACAACGTGTGGCTGGCCAATTTTAGGGAGAATTGCTCTGCTTATGCCAGTGACCCACAGGCAGGTGTAACAGCACATCAGTTAACCGGGGATGGAAATCATAGTTCAATAGATACACAATCTAAATACCATAGAGAGATATACGATGTAATAGCCAAACAAGCCCTGAAAGCTATGAAAAACCTTCACACTACAGACCAAAATAGCAACCTGCCCTCCACAAAAGCATTACAAAATCATACTGAACCAAATTCAAGATGTTTAGATTGGCTGCAATCTGTTTTAAACAAACAAGTAGAATACAATAAAGCTGTATAAGCAATTGTCTTTTGAAAAGGCAAGCTCAAGCTGTGGAGAAGCTTTGCAAACCCCTCCTAAAAGGGAAGACTACAGCATTGCTGAGCCAGTTCAGCCGTACCAAAGAGTTAGCTCTGTGAAACACCAATCTAACCCTTTTGCTATAACCCTAAAAGCCTGGTTAGGAGTAAAAGATGAGGCCAGACACAGAGCTAGTTGTGTTACATGTGATGACAGTAACCACTCTCAGAGAGATTGCCCTTGGAGA